CATTTACTAGCCAAAAAGAGGGTTTCAGTTTCGGGTTTCAGCCACACCTCACTCAATTCAACATGGAATTTAGCATGGTCAGTGGCGTTGGAAACTAGATTTATAAAACTACAATTTCTTAGAAGAAATCATTTTCAAAATCTATCCACAACTAGCTCACATTTGATAATCAATTCACTGCTCAAAACGGAGCTCCCAGTGTAGACATGAAACAGGACAGTCATGTTTAAATGATTGGTACAGACTGCTCAGGTGGAATCAGAATGTACATTTTATGCCGTTGGAAAGATAGGAATGTCTAGTTTCTAGTGCCACAAACGGCACTTGATTTTGACATCGGAGCAAAAAGTTATAGCCAAAACAATAACATTGCCAGAGCAGTTGCGGAAAACATTTCCAGATTTGCCAAACTTCCGAAATCACAATGTTTGGCCAACCAAATCACGTTATTTTTTATGAAACTTTTTACACAACCCACACAACATATATACATGATAAATAAGCTATTAGAACCACAAAAAATCACCCTAAGGGTCACGGACAACATAGGGGCATAATTGGAAATTTTTCCATCTTCACCTTCTTTGAGTTTCTATTCAAAATATCACTCAATTCCACTAATTTAACCACTAATCCAACATTAATAACATCAAAACTCATCACATCAGTCCATCCAACCATAGTGGGAGTTTATAGAGCCCACACACCAAATTTCTAACAATTTAAAGCTACCCATGAGAATCCAAGAGCTCATGAGTGTAATATAACTTCTATAAACTAAGATTTTTGAGGTTGATCGTTCATTACCTCTTTGGATGAGCAAGACAGAAATTTTTGGCCTCTTGAAGCTCAACAAAACCGTGGAAAGCAAGCTCTCTTCCTAGCTAATATTGTTCACCAAGTGTTTAGCAAGTTATACGTAAAATTTGAGGTGATTTGATGAAGGATTGAAGCAAGAAATGAAGAAGAATTTGGTCTTCTTCCTCCTTGAGGGTGCACGGCTGGAATGAGAGAGAAAGAGGAGTGTTTTTGGGCTGAAATGAAGCTTCCAAGTGAAGCTAAAATGTGTGGCTCTAAATCGTTTCAAAAGTCAACTCTCTCTCATGCGCGTACGCGCGCATTTCGTGCTCGATTCCTCTTGGGTTTGTTTCACTTGTGCACTAAACCTCTAATGCATTTCCAATCATATTATTATTATTCATTGTTAATAGCCCCAAAATAAAGGTCTCAAGTCCATCAATTAATCGCGAGCGTAAAAACGCGTATTTTCGATTTATGCGCGATAGAGTGAAATTTCTAAGAAATTCTTATAACGATAGTATCACTAGCTAATAATTGAACAACTAAATAAAAAATACCTATTTCAAGACAGAGCTATCTAATGCGCTCTGGAACTACCAACGAGCGTAAGCAAGTCAAAATGGCCAAATAACCCAAAATAAGAAAATAAAATCCGGAGTCGGCCATGAATAGTAACCGACCCGGCCAAACCCAACCGAAATAGCTAACAAACATTCACATCTGAACTTTAGCGTTTACAGATCAAAATAACATACAAAAGCTTTCAAAAGTTAATACATATACATGGTTTGCCAAATCAAAAGAGAAAACGCCCCAAAAGTACACTTAGGGTTTTAATACATGAGCTATACAAAAGATATGTTCAACTAGCTCATTTTGGCAGCCATTTGTCAAATCCAGACCAAAAGTGTTTATTTTCCTGTAAGGAAAACAAAAGGAACAGAAAGGGGTGAGCTTGCGCTCAATGAGGTACCAAACATATAGCAGAAAATCATGGCATTTCACATTTAACAAATCAGATACACATGCCAGATGTAAAGCAAAGGAACCAATGATTCAAATCAGAAGGATACGGGTGGCTCTCAGGAGCCAAATTTCCAGCGCCGTACTTGATCCAAACCGGTTGACTCTCCGTCAACGTATATAGAACCAAAACGTCCGTAGACCCCTCTTTACACCGAATTCCGTCCACCAAACACCCCTTTACCGGGCCCGCTCACCGTAACCGAACAGAAATGGTAATACTCGAGTATACCCGGAATCAAGGGTCTCAATACCCAAAATCCCCGAACAGACTACCGTGGTTCGTTATCTAATCGTCCAGGCCCTTGCCGGCCCGACTCGAATAACTTAGCCACAGGATTGAGCTCATAGGTCATAGAAATCCGAACAGATGCAGACACAGATGCAGATTCAAATTTTGCATAGTAAATTGGCATATGAACAGACTAGAGAACGAGTGTGATAAAGTACACCCTCGTCTCGAACAAATAAATAGATTGCAGAGCAGAAATCAAGTTAAACAGCAATGGAGGGGATGGTACACTCACAGGCTCAACTTCAAAAGTTTCACTTCAGATTGGCCTTAATCGCCAAGAAACCCTAAAATAATCAAAATAAACCAATTGAAGGTTGCATATCCAAAATCGAGTAAACACAATGCACATGAGGCTCGACTACCAGTCGTATGCCTCGCCAAATAATTACTAATGCAAGGGTGGAAAAACATGATTTTCTTGGAAACAAAAAGGTAACATGAAGACTTAGGCGCAAACAACCCAAAAGCCTTTCGCTCAAATCACAAGTAAATCCAACTAGCCTTTAAGTAAAATTCGGCAGCATATCCCTTGTGTTTACCTATTTTCCAGCCATCATGGCTTCATTAACTCCTCAAATCAGTCCCAACATATCACACAAAAGTCATCTCATTTACCAAAAGCCGTTCACTAGGCTCAAAGTAGTACAAGTACAAAAGTTAACTAGGAAATGACCGGAATGAGAGCGAGCCCTACACATGCAAACAAGTACATGGAGACTCGATAACGAGTCATAAAGCCATACCAATTTTAACCCTAATAGGGTTTCATATGCATAAATAAGCATCATAGCAAACCAGAAATTAAGAAATGGCATTAGCTTAGGCCTTAACAAAAAAACAGTTTTCGTCATACTTTTCCGGTAATGACACAAAATGCGTTACGCTTATCGGATGAGGGTGTAAGACCCACCGTTTCGAAGCTAAGAACCAGGGCTACAACAATGTAGAAGGCCACTCAGTCCAAATCCTAGCACAACTAGGTCAAAAATGCAGAATACCACAACCTGAACCGTAATTGCAGGTTTACAAATCACACAATGCTGTAATGAACACAACTCAGTCTATACAGGTCCAAATGCCGAAATTCCAAAGGCATATGTTAGATAAGACATCCAGCTACATTTCATCAGAAGACACCAACAACAAAATCCAAACCAATTCCAGTGAAAATGGCCGATTACAAGTGCAGTTTTCGCATTCTGATCAACCCAGATCAGCAATAGTAAAAACGACATATCTCACTCTACACTACTCCAAATGACCTGAAATTTTGTAAGCACTTCAAACTCATCAATACCTACAACTTTCATGTTTTGAGAAAAGTCCAATTCGGCCTCTAACCCTATGATCCAAAACCGGACAGAATTAGGGGTTTTGAAACCCTATATTTTCACAATTCATTCCAAACCCAAAATTGGTTGTAATTATCACTAATTCACATCTACTAGAGTCATTCCCCCTCATTATCAATCATCATAGATGACCACAACATCACATTCATATTAAACCAGAAAATTCCTCAAAAATAGAAAAACTTCACCAAATCATTTCAAACCAAGATAAAAACCAGAAATTTCAGCACTTTAATCACTACTAAGCATAACTTAAGCATCATTAGGTGTAGGAGGAAGTTTGAGCATCACTTACCAAGAAAACAAGAGAGAGGAAGTAGTAGGACACCTTAGCTCTCCAAGAAAGCTTCACCAAATCACTCACTATCACTAACTAAAGGGATTTTATGGAGTAATTGCAAGATCAAATGGTTGGATGGTTCACCTTGAGCAAGATTGGAGCTAAAACTTGAAGAGTTTCTTGCTTCCTTTTGGAGAGAGAGGGCCGGCCATATGAGGAGAAGAAATGATGATTTTTGAGCAATTTTTTTCAAGATATTTACTCAATTTGGTCAAAAGTCAAAAGTGTGAATAGTTGCCAACAAAGTCCAACCAATGGTTGTGTGACACTTGTCACTCCATTAATGCAATCTTATCACTTTTTTTCTCTCTCACATCAATCATTTCACACACTCTACTTATCTCTTAACACCCGATAAATTTTACACAGTATCTGGAATTTAACCTAATTAACCGAATTTTTCCAAACTTTTCGCACTAGTGGGTCCCACGTCCGTTATACGCTCTTAATTTCTCATAATCTATTTGATACTAGAAAAATCATCTGAAAATTATATTTACTCATAAAATTTATCTAGAAAATTTTCCGGATACAGAAAGTGCAGAAAACAAGCCATGAAAAATGCGAAAACCTAGAAAATGTAAATTACGGGTTCTCACATACTAAGCGAAGGAAAGTAAGGGGGTTTGTACAAGAACTCAATGTGGAAATACATGAGGCCTTGGCGGCGGCCCAAATTAACACTTTTATGGAGGTTTTGGAGAAGGCCCAGAGAATAGAAATTGTCAGGGCACAAGTAAGGACTTTTCATGCAAAATGGAGAGGGGCGCCTGGTGGAAATTAAGGGTCGGCACATAGTGATTGGAACATGCCACCTCCTAAAGCAGGTCAAGGGGCTAGAGGTAGAAGATTTATGGGTCCATGTAGGGGAGTTACTCCGAGGGGAGCTCCAGGTGGAAGGGGATAGGCAAGAAGTGCTTCGCAGGGAGACCAGACATCCGCCCCCTGAGCATCGTGTTGGTACTATGGGAAATCTAACCATACTGACGATAATTGCTAGAGAAAGGCTCGAAAGTGCTTAAGGTGTGGAAGTACTGAGCACCAGATCATCAAGTGCCCCCTTATTAGTGATGCTCAGTCGGCTAGCAAATCAAACCCTAAACCAACCAATATAGGAGGGAACTGGTCAAGGGTGCCAGCCAAAGTGTACTCTTTGGACCAGCAATAGGTACCTGAACCATCGGAGGTAATGGAAGGTACAATTCCTATTTTCCATTGTTTAGCTAAAATTTTGATAGACCCCGGTGCAACCCATTCTTTTGTTAGCCCCGCATTTATGTTTGGAATTGATGTGAAAGCTGAAAGGCTACCATATGACCTAGAAATGAAGACACCTACAGGTAACCAATCCTTACTTGCCAATGAGGTATATAGAACTGCGATATTTGGGTGGGTGAGCGGAAATTAGTAGTTGACCTCATGAGTCTAGTCATTAAGGGTACGATTTTATTCTAGCCATGGATTGACTAGCTCATTATCATGCTCGGTGGATTGTCGTATGCAGGTGGTCGAGTTTTGCATACCGGTGAGGCAACTTTAAAGCTAGACGTGAGGGGTATTCTAGCCTCATTTGCCCTTATTTCGGGAATTAGAGTTAGGAAATTATTAAGTAATGGAGCACGAGGGTATCTAGCCTTTCTAGTTAACACTCCAGGGGAAAAGGGTAAACTAGAAGAGATGCCAGTGATAAATGAGTATCCAGATGTATTCCCAGATGAGTTGGTGTCCTTGCCACCCGAAAGAAAGATTGAGTTTAACATTGATTTAGCACCTGGAACTAATCCCATTTAAAAAACCCTTTATCGAATAGCGCTTGCTGAAGTTAAGGAGTTAAAATTTCAATTGCAAGACTTGTTAGAATGAGGAATCATACATGAGAGCGAGTCATCTTGGGGCACTCCAGTGCTATTTGTCAAAAAGAAAGATGGGAGTTTAAGGCTATGCATTGATTATCGAGGGTTGAATGCAATAACTGTGGCGGCCCCTTCTCCTAAGGCGAACCAGAGGGTTGGCTGGTCGCCTGCCTAGCTCTCGCCAGAACTCACGCAAGCAATACCGACCAAATATCCACGTATAACCTAACCCAAAACACAATTCGTCATCCGAACATGCCAAACTTTAAATCACTGGAATACTAAGACACATTAACTTCAGAGATAACATTACCATTGAACATCCAAACGTTCACCCTTAAGTACATCTCCGACTAGTTCAACACAAGCTACAAATATACATTACAAACCATACAGTAAACTCATAAAGCTAAAAATAAATTCATACAGGCTAAATCTTAGGGTTTGCACTTTTCCAGCTTCAAGTGACAACCCAAAACAAAGATACAAAGACAATTCGAAACAACATTTACAAAAGCTAGAAGCAGACTTCAAAACTTCCGAATTCCGAAACCTGTTAAGGAAAACAAATATCGTGTGGTGAGCTAAAGCTCAGTGGTGCCCCAAACATGTAATCATATAAACAAATAGCAAATAATAGTTCCAAGCTTAAATGCAACACATAGGAAAGCGTATAACAGCACAGGGTAGGATATAGGGCTCTCAGGAGCCATTTTCCACTAGCTTGATCAAAATTAACCACAGTTGACCCTTCGTCAACTCTCACTATCTAAAGTCCATGTAGATTCATATTTTTTTCCCTTAACACGCTCCAGCCAACTTACTCCCACACCGGGCCCGCACACCTCACAAGAGAGTTTGGTATTACTTGGGTATACCTTTATATAAACTAGTCGAGGGATTCACCCAACGACGTCACAACACGAGGTTACCAGGTCAGGATAAGAGGCCCTTCCACCCTAAGGTGTGGTACGTTCGCATGCCTGGTAGATTAGTTGACGAGTCCACGCTCCAGTCAACAATTGCAAGATATTCGAGAAAACATTTCAAGCAAGTCACCACTCGAAAGCCTAGTGCGATAAAGTACACACTGCCACTTCGATGGTTCAGGAAAACCACTTTCCAAATATCACATAACAAGTCAAGAAAGCACTTTAACACTTTAATCATAGAACAAGCACGGACACTCACCAAAAGTGGAGCTCAAAAGTCAAGTTAGGAATCGAAGTCCACGTCCTCGCTAAACCCAAGAAATCCAAGTTTTAAAAACTATAAGTTTTACTAAACAAACCCTTGGTTTAAATACAAAAGATTATCTAGTATAAAACTAATTTATTTACTCAGAATAAATCAATAAATCTCTTAGAATTAAAGCTAGTAAAGTAATAAAATGTTTCGTGTGGTTTCTTTTAAAAATATTTCCCTCCTAGAGGGCAAACTAGAACCAAACTAGTTCAAACGAGTTTTCTTGCCGAACAAGTTTTCTATGTCTTTTATTTGAAATTAGTTAAATTTAGTGCTTTTAACATATTTCCTCCAATACAACTAGTTAAGGATAATTTTATGAAAAACTTAAAGTTTGGAAATTACTACGATTACTCCCTAAAGGCAATAAAACTAGCTTAAGCAAAAAAAAGCATTAACTAGTCGGCAAGGTTTTGAAAGTCCCAATATCTAAATTTAATATTAACGTACTATGCATAATTTTTATAACTTGATATTAAGATAAAATATTTCAATAAGGCTTGATAAACAAATACTCGAATTTAAAAGACCAAAACGGACTTCATGATTCCAATTCATTTGCACACTGTATTCCAAGTTGCCATTACAACTAAAACACAATTCAAATATAAATGTCACTAGGCTTCATCAATCATTAGCCCTAGGTCTCAACAGATTCCATTCCAAACAAAATTCAACAAAGGAAGTCCAAGGTATCACAACAATTCTAAATCACAAAACCATGGACCTCCCAAGTACATTTCAGCCAACCACTAGAACAAATTCACCAAAAATTAAATTCTTGCAAAAACTTCTCAAATGGCCAAGTGCTTCATCAATCAGTAGCTCTTGACAACAAACAAGCACTTCCAGTCACAATTCAACCAGAATTTCAACCCAAAAAAATTTCCAGCAACTCTCCTCCCACGGTCTCACCCAAAATTCCAACTTTTCCCTTAATTTCTTCAACTAAACTTCACTTAACACATAAAGCTAACAAATTACATGCATTACCAAACATAAATTCCATTTTACTGGAATCACAAGCTGCAAGATAAACATGCAAGCTCTTGGTTCCTCTTCTTAGGTCCAGCTTCCACATTTTTTTCTTATCAAAATTCCTTCAGTCAAATATTATTATTCATGGCTAAAAACCAACATGCAGCCCGCAAGTAGCTACATGCATAACCAAATAAACATCTATCTAGCAAATTTGATCAAAAATCAGGTTCGGATGCCATCAAAAGACACCATCTAACAAAAATTCATCCAAATTGTCTCGGTTGACAAGCATGCAACCAGATTTTGTTTTCCTTCAATTTTCTGGCTTACACACAGCTAACTAACCTCATGCAAAACTTAATCATCCAGTTTTTAACTAGTTAAACCCACAATTAAACTCAGATCACCACAAAATTAACCAACTAAAGCTGCAATTCCAGCTCAAACTCTCGGCAGCTTCAATTCTTTCCAAATCAGTTTTCTTGTAACTTAATTTTTCATCCAACCGCACAACCCCACATGCATGCTTATAAACAGCTTCATCAACTCATAATAAACTAGTTTAAGTCCAGAAATTACCTCAGCTTAAGGCTCAAATCACGCAACTAGCAGCTGCAAAAATCCTCTACTCTCGGCTGTCCAGAATTTCAGCCTGCTAGCTCTTCCTCTCTCTTGCTCAAGCTTGCGACTAGAATGGAGGAAGTTTGGTTCTCAGACTTCACCAGCTCACGGTTGGAAGGAAGAATGAACCGCAAGTCTCTCTCTTCCCTCTCTAGTTTACAGACAGAAAAGAAGAAAAATGAAAGGCGCGGCTCTTCCTCCCTTGCTCTCCACTCGCGGCTCACGGCAGAAAAGAAAATGGAAGTGTGATGTTGTGGTGGATTGGAAATGGTATGAAGTGGAGTGTGTAGGTAGTGGAATGTATATATTGAAGTGTTTGGAGCGGAGCTAAGTCGGCACTTGGAATGGAAGGTGCTGGAATGAAGATATTGTGGTGAGTGGTAGTTGTTATAGTGGAGAAGGGAACCGGCTGGAATGGAAATGTTTGCATGTGTAGCTTGTTCTAAGACGTTCCATGGTTGCATGGTGAATTTGAAATGGATGAGGGCTATTTTGGTCTTTTAGCAACTTGTTTGACCTTCCACTTAGGTCCCTCATATATAAACTAACCCCAAGATTTTTCCTCAATGAAATTTGATAGCCTACTAACACACTAGTCTCACAAAAAAAATTTAAATTATCGAGATTCAACGTCCTAAGAATAATTATAAAGAGTTTTAACCTAAAACAATTTATTTTTACACACTTAATGCAGAACAACTAACAATCAAATTTATTAAAAGACTAAAATGCAAATGTAACACGTATATATATGTATATATGTATATCGATATTTTTCAAGGTTCTCACATCCTCCCCCCCTTAAATGAATTTTGTCCTCAAAATTCTCACCTTCTAAAGAAATAGGTCGGGGTACTTTTTCTGCATTTGCTCTTCTAATTCCCAAGTTGCCTCCTCTAAACCATGATTTCTCCATAGAATCTTCACCAAGGAAATTTTCTTATTTCTCAATTCTTTCACTTTTCTTTCCAAAATCTTAACTGGTCCTTCTTCATAAGCTAATGACTCATCCACTTCAATTCCTTCCAATTGCAACACGTGGCTTGGATCGGGGTGATATTTCTTGAGCATAGAAACATGAAATACATTGTGAATCTTAGCCATGCTCAAAGGCAATTGCAGTTGATACGCCACCTTTCCGATTCGTTTCAAAATTTCAAAAGGTCCAATATACCTCGGCTTTAACTTTTTACCCTTTTTGGACCCCACACCGCCCTTCACGGGTTTAACTCTTAGGAACACTTTGTCTCCTACTTCAAATTCCAAATCTTTCCTCCTTGTGTCGGCGTAGCTCTTTTGCCGACTCTAGGCAGTTTGAAGCCTTTCCCTAATTAGTTTCACTTTCTCATGAGCTTCTTCCATCCAAGGTATAACTGTTGGATCTAAAATTTTCTTCTCTCCTACTTCACCCCAATGAATCAGAGATTGACACCTTCTCCCATATAATGCTTCATAAGCTGCCATTTGAATTGAGGCGTGATAGCTATTATTGTAGGCAAATTCTATTAAGGCCATATACTGACTCCATTTACGTCCAAAATCCAATATACATGACCTTAACATATCCTCCAAAGTCTGAATTGTTCTTTCTAACTGTCCATCTGTTTGGGGATGGTAAGCGGTACTAAACTTCAACTTGGTCCCCAATGTCTCTTGAAACTTCTGCCAGAAATGTGAAACAAACCTTGGATCTCGATCAGACACAATGCTTACAGGAATACCATGCAATCTCATGATCTCTTCTGTGTACAACTTGGCCAATTTTTCCAAAGAGAAGCTCATATGCACAGGTAGAAAATGCGCAGATTTGGTAAGCCTGTCAACTATCACCCAAATCGCATCAAATCCTTGTTGACTTCTAGGCAAACCTGTTACAAAATCCATGGTTATGTGTTCCCATTTCCATTCAGGAATTTCTAGTGGCTGCAATAAACCAGAGGGTTTTGATGTTCAACTTTTACTTGTTGGCATATCAGACATTTTTGCACAAACTTCGCCACGTCCCTTTTTAAACCGTCCCACCAGTATAATTCTTTCACATCGTGATACATTTTGTTCACTCCTGGGTGTATAGTATACCTCGATCGATGT